GGAAAGCAGAGAGTTGGCCATCACTCTAGCGAAAGCTCCAAAATCGGTACTCATCTAAAGACAGCCACACTCCATCTAAAGACCAGCCCCAACGAAGACCCCCGCTAGGCAGAGGAATTCCACGGGCCAACCGATTCGACCCAACCGCAGCTCGGCGCATTCAGGGTCTCTACAAACATTCGAAAAAACGAGCAGCACGGAAAATACTAATCAACAACTCTGTGACCTACTCGGGCTCAGTGTCCGATGCCGAGTATTTCACAGAAAGTTTCGAGAGAAATCGTGCATCCAACAATACTTCGAAGAAATGCTTCCAAAATTGGTCCCATCAGCAAGCGACGAAAGTGTGAGGACCTATACTCGCCGATAACGCAATTCGACGTCGCCACAAAGCTTAGATCAGTCGCCAACACTGCGCCAGGCGCTGACAAGGTTGAATACGGTCATCTGAAAAAGATTGACCCATGTGGGAAGATACTTTCCGCCATATTCAACCGCTGCCGACGCAAAAATGACGTCCCCCCACTGTGGAAAACGTCCCTCACGGTGTTGATCTACAAAAAGGGAGACGAAAACGACATAAGCAACTTCCGTCCGATTGCCTTGATGTCGTGTATGTATAAATTGTTCACCGCATCCTGGCAAAACGGCTAACGAAATGGGCAATTTCGAATGACATTCTATCACAGGAGCAGAAGTCTGCACGACCGAGTGAGGGGTGCTACGAGCACACATACATCTTAAAATCGTTGGTGGGACAGGCGAGAATGAACAAGAAGAAACTCAACCTTGCCTGGCTCGACCTCCGTAATGCATTCGGCAGCATCCCCCATTTTGTTATCGAACACACCCTCCGCCATATGGGAGTTCCACAAGACATGGTCACCCTTTGTGGCAACATTTACACCGATGCCACCACTAAGATAAGCACTCCCCAAGGTGTAACCAGCGACATCCCAATAAAATCCGGGGTGAAACAAGGCTGCCCAATGAGCCCGATCTTATTCAATCTTTGCATTGAGCTGATCCTTCGATGGGTTAAAGAGGAAGCAGCGAAGATAAAGTCGGGAACCTGCAACCATTTTGGAACGGATCTATCCTGCCTCGCATACGCCGATGACTTAGTGCTGATGGCACGCAGTAAAGATACCCTCCAACGTTTGCTGTACGCTGCTGCCGAAGCAGCCAACACTCTTGGACTGAACTTCCGACCCGACAAGTGCGCTACTCTTTCTCTAACATCTACCAGACAGCGTGCTACGTTCGTCGAACCAACTGATTTCACTATTCAGGGCGAACACATCCCAGCTCTCTCGCAAGAAGAGTCGTACCGATATCTTGGAGTTCCAATAGGTCTGATACACAACATAAATGATATCCCGAGTATAGTGCCGAAACTCATCCAACACATCAACATCATTCGTTCGTCACTCCTTGCCCCTGGCAGAAGCGCGATCCGTACTTTATTCAGCCATGCATTACTTACGCCCTACGTGCGGGTAATCCGTTAAAACAGTCCCTCGATGAATATAAGCGGATTCTCGTATCGGCGCTCAAAGACATTTGCTGCCTACCACAGAGGGCAACGCAGTCCTATTTCTTTGCTCATAAGAAGGTTGGTGGCCTGTCAATGTTCGACCCTAGAACGGAATGCGACATACAAGCAATTGTCCAAGGTCTCCGTATGCTCTCGTCCTCGGATCCGAACGTTACAGCCATGGCTAAACACGAACTAAAATACATAGTCAGAAGATCAACACAGCTTAACCCAACTGCGGACCTCATCTCCGTCTACTTATCTAGCACTAAAGACCCCCGTACTGACAGACTATACTACTCATACTCCTCCCTGTGGTCTAGAGTTCGCCAAGCATGTCGCCGACTCTCTGTTACTTTTTCATTTTCTGACTCTGAACCACCCACGATCATCGCAGATGAATCCCCTGCCATCAAATCGGACAAAGTCACCTATTTCTTGCACCAACTGGTCCTCGACAGACACTCCAAAGACCTGACTGAGATCGTTGACCAAGGGAAAGTTGCGAGATGTCTAGCAGATGACCAATATGCCAACGGATCATCCTGGCAATGTACGGGCCTAAATATCCGGTTTAAGGACTGGCGCTTCATTCACCGGGCACGTTTGAATCTCCTCCTCTGAATGCGGTAAAGTCCAGATTCTCGGCAACGGACCCAACATGTCGCCATTGCGCAGCCTGAAACTCTCCCACACGTCTTGTGTCATTGCCGTCCCCATATGGTACAAATCAGGGAACGACACAATGCCATAGTAGACCGTGTAACTCAAGCAATCAGATTTGGTACAGTAACAACAGACCGCACCATCAAGTCTTCGAACCTTAACCTGCGACCCGATATCGTTGTTGAAGAGGAGGACCGTGTGCTAATAATTGATGTTACGTGCCCTTTGATAACGACGACGATGCTTTAGCCAACGCTGCGCAAAATAAAGTTACGAAATACCAACCACTCAAAGCGTACGTGGAATCTACGGGGAAAACTTGTTCTATCTTACCTTTCGTAGTAGGTGCGCTGGGCTCTTGGTATAAGAAAAACGAACTCGTCCTGAAAGCCTTGGGAATGACACGTAGATACAAGTCACTCTTCCGAAAACTCTGTTGTTCTGACGCAATTAAAGGATCCTGCGACGTCTATCGCATTCATCTCGGCTGTGATGACGACGTCCGTCTCGCTGACTGATCTGGAAAAGAAAATAACACTAACATTAGCATACATGAAATCAGTAGAAACAATTATTTGACATTACGCTAGAACAATTAATGATAGTTAAAAGACAATTCTTTTAGATAATATTAATTTTGTACGTTGTAAATGATGTTCAGAACTGTTTGTGTTTCATTTATTTTCCTTACATCCGAAATTGAGAACAATTGACTTACGTGTAAATATGTAATACTACCTCTGTAAATAATTCCTGGGTAACCTACTGGTCCCATCATTTTTTGGATATTAAATTTGATAAGAACTCTGTTCTTATCAGCTTAATATCTGATATGTCGGGCAATGCCCGACTCTTATATTAAACTGATTTTGGATATCGGCCATGGGATTGAGCTTGCTTCGCCCTGGCCACGGGTTGTCTCGGTATTGCACTACCTCCGAGTTCGGCCCATTTCCCTTCGCGGAAGGGAAACACATTTACTTTAAACAAAAGAAAAAAACAAACAAAACAGCCAGCAAATCAAATAGCAAAGCGAATTTATTTTGTCTGTAACTAACTAACTAACTAACTAACCGAGAAACGAACCGTTTAACATTTAACTAATTAACTAACATACGTCTCTTTTCGACAGAGTCGGCGAAAGACGAAAAGACGTCGTCGTCGTCGGAAAGGAAGACAATAAAGGCCGTCAGACGGTAAGTTGCAAGTGCAAAAGTAGTGAAAAGTAAAGGAGGGGTGCAACCGTGTCGCACCGAGCGTACGTTCGCGTACAAAGTATGCTCGCCGTGCGTCGTTCGAGCATACTTACCTGACGCGAGAGGCACCTTGATCAGCTAGGAGGTCCTCTCAGGATGAGGCCCTTTCATTGCACTTCGACTGGGTTGACTCCTGCGATTACCCCTAACGTGGGTAACTCGAGCGTATAATTTCTGGTAGTGGGGACCTGCGTTCGCGCTCGTCCCTTCGTTTCTCACGATGGGAGGAAGAAGCGGAGAAAAGAACAAATAAAATAGAACACGATATATAAATTCGTTGTTCGTTCGGGGTTAGGTTGCATGCTGCCAAATTTTTACTGACCTATCCCAAAATGCATAGCGAGATGCAGGAGAAATTTATATCATCTATTAGCAAGAATAAATTACTTGTATTTGACATAAATTACTTGTACTTAACAACGACGTAAACGGCCGGCGTGTGTATATTTTGACGGACGGCATATACATTATGAAAATATACAAATTATAATATGTATCGTCGACGTTAACAGTAATGAAATTGCATTGCGAACGTTTTTCTTACTTAGTCGTACGTTTGTTTAGCTTTTATAGTAATTATTTCTATGTATCACTGACATTTAACGGCTCGTAGTGTAAAATTCGTTCATTGAGCTGCTTGTCTGCCGATTTCATGAAGCATGACCTTGTTGACATTGCAGCACTTGCATACAATGCGAATCATTATCGCCCACAAGCACAAAGCGTTTGTTTTACAATGAGAAAGCACGTCTGCAGCAAGTTCGCGACAGACATCGCGTGCTTCCTACGTCATATGAAACGATCGCATTTCGCGGCATTACGCGCGAATTTTCAAACATGTTCTTCTTTACGAACAGGTGTACATTGGATTAGAAAGAACGCTTGACATGACGATTGTAGTAAAGGATGATTCCTTCGTTATCCGTACTGCTTGATTTTTCATTTGTTGCATGATTTCTACGCGAAAAGATACAATAGAACCGTGTGTTTCTCATGCAACTTGTAGAGTGAAAAATGGCGAAAGCTCTTCTTCTGTATCGCTTCTCGGCCTTTTGGCTAAGATCAAGTGTAGATTACATGACGTTTCGGCGGAGCTCTCGAAATTTTGATCTCCTTTCTTCAAAATTGTTCATCTGCCTTACTTTTTGGTATAATCTTGTAGCTAAAAGTCTAGCGATCATTTCAAGAATATATTGGTCGAAATTGGTCTATTTTTCGCCGAGAAATCAAAGTATATAAATTGATGCGATCGGCGGTTGTTTTGTTTACCACGTGCTCGCGTTCATTTGGTATTTTTTGCTGTTAAATTCATCGTGGATCAACTATATTTGGTATCTGCGTGTTCCAGACAATCTCCTCTACATTTCTACAAGATTTTTGGAATCAAATTGTATAAATTTTTCAAAATTTGCGAAAATCGTCAATCCGAAAATCAAGCGATGGTGCTTCCACTTCGTGACGGAATACTTCCAACACCCAAATCAAGTAAAATCAATTCTAAAGATTCTACGAGCTTTATTTCGCCTTCTACTTATCCTTTACCATATGAAGCTGTCCAAATTATCAACTCCTTCAACATTAGTGAGCAACCTAAATGGAACATTTCAGTTGGAACTAAAAACATCAAGTTAAAAATGGAATGGCTTACAATAAACACTCATACGGACAAATCTACAACCTTCAACTTTCCTACAACTGTTCTTCACTCAATATCATTGTTCAATCTCGATAAACCAACTTGGTCTTCATCCTTCAATGGCCAAGAAGTCCTCCTAAACTGTGAGTGGAAAATTATAAACAACAATTCATCTCCATCTCAATTTAATACTCCACAATCAGCTGCTACCTTATATAACTCTCCAGACTCTGGATATCATACTGGTTCACCTCCTACAAATTACTCACCCAATACAGCATCAATCACACCTACAAAACTAAATTTTCACCTACAAAGAGAAAGAAAAATGATTTTCATCCCTAAACTCCCAAATCTTCAAAATCTCCCCCAAACCCCTCACCAACCTATTCCCTCCCAAAAGCAATCCAACCTTCCTATCATTAAACCACCCATCCGTCAACAGCAAAAAGCACAAACTCCCCCTCCCATTCCTACTCCCTCTACCCCAAAATCCCTACCAATCCCTCTACCAAAACCCCACCCACCCACAATACTACAATTCCCTCAACTGGCTTGACCCCCACTTACTCCCAGCCTTACCCATACAAACCTTCTTCTTCAACTATCGCTGTCATTAATCCTGATGCTTCAACTACCAACCAGGACTACGACCCATGCGTGACTTTGTGCCAAAGTATAACAAATTTGCACAACCTCCAAGATCCATTAAAATATATGACGATGGATCCCTTTGATGACAGCATCCGAGCAGAATTCATGAATATCAATGGTCGATGCCGCCTCTGCAATGAAGAAATACCATCATACCTTGCCATGGCTCATGTATATCAATGTCGCGAATTTGATGACGAAAGAATTAAAGATTTTTGCCAAAAATATGCCTTGAAGCTGAACACTGGCGAACATACCATATATAATTATATATTATTGCATGCCAGTTATCTTTTTCAAGACAATTTAATTCGAATGACATTATAAAGACATTAGTACTTGCGTGGTTTTACCAGTGATATTGACAATCTAGCTGAAACAATTCTTCCTTCTTTCTAACCAAATGTGGTTATTCTCCATCAATTACTATAAAGTATTAGGGATCATGGCTATCCTGATGCTCAGCACTCAAAATTCTCTCTTTCAATCATTTAAAACTTAACTTACCTTTCTTTCGCCCATCTTGTGCATAAAAGCCACACATCCTATTTTCTATGGTTTCTCTATTATCATATATACAATATTTACATCTATATGTACAATATTTACAATTATCTTTTTACCTATGTTGGCGCAACTGATATAATATTATGTAACTATCCTTATTCTTTGTTAATCTTCAAATGAAATAAAAGTAATTCTGTTCTTATCAGCTTAATATCTGATATGTCGGGCAATGCCCGACTCTTATATTAAACTGATTTTGGATATCGGCCATGGGATTGGAGCTTGCTTCGCCCTGGCCACGGGTTGTCTCGGTATTGCACTACCTCCGAGTTCGGCCCATTTCCCTTCGGAAGGAAACACATTTACTTTAAACAAAAGAAAAAAAAAACAAACAAAACAGCCAGCAAATCAAATAGCAAAGCGAATTTATTTTGTCTGTAACTAACTAACTAACTAACTAACCGAGAAACGAACCGTTTAACATTTAACTAATTAACTAACATACGTCTCTTTCGACAGAGTCGGCGAAAGACGAAAAGACGTCGTCGTCGTCGGAAAGGAAGACAATAAAGGCCGTCAGACGGTAAGTTGCAAGTGCAAAAGTAGTGAAAAAGTAAAGGAGGGTGCAACCGTGTCGCACCGAGCGTACGTTCGCGTACAAAGTATGCTCGCCGTGCGTCGTTCGAGCATACTTACCTGACGCGAGAGGCACCTTGATCAGCTAGGAGGTCCTCTCAGGATGAGGCCCTTTCATTGCACTTCGACTGGGTTGACTCCTGCGATTACCCCTAACGTGGGTAACTCGAGCGTATAATTTCTGGTAGTGGGGACCTGCGTTCGCGCTCGTCCCTTCGTTTCTCACGATGGGAGGAAGAAGCGGAGAAAAGAACAAATAAAATAGAACACGATATATAAATTCGTTGTTCGTTCAGTTAGGTTGCATGCTGCCAAATTTTTACTGACCTATCCCAAAATGCATAGCGAGATGCAGGAGAAATTTATATCATCTATTAGCAAGAATAAATTACTTGTATTTGACATAAATTACTTGTACTTAACAACGACGTAAACGGCCGGCGTGTGTGTATATTTTGACGGACGGCATATACATTATGAAATATACAAATTATAATATGTATCGTCGACGTTAACAGTAATGAAATTGCATTGCGAACGTTTTTCTTACTTAGTCGTACGTTTGTTTAGCTTTTATAGTAATTATTTCTATGTATCACTGACATTTAACGGCTCGTAGTGTAAAATTCGTTCATTGAGCTGCTTGTCTGCCGATTTCATGAAGCATGACCTTGTTGACATTGCAGCACTTGCATACAATGCGAATCATTATCGCCCACAAGCACAAAGCGTTTGTTTTACAATGAGAAAGCACGTCTGCAGCAAGTTCGCGACAGACATCGCGTGCTTCCTACGTCATATGAAACGATCGCATTTCGCGGCATTACGCGCGAATTTTCAAACATGTTCTTCTTTACGAACAGGTGTACATTGGATTAGAAAGAACGCTTGACATGACGATTGTAGTAAAGGATGATTCCTTCGTTATCCGTACTGCTTGATTTTTTTCATTTGTTGCATGATTTCTACGCGAAAAGATACAATAGAACCGTGTGTTTCTCATGCAACTTGTAGAGTGAAAAATGGCGAAAGCTCTTCTTCTGTATCGCTTTCGGCCTTTTGGCTAAGATCAAGTGTAGTATCTGTTCTTATCAGCTAATATCTGATATGTCGGGCAATGCCCGACTCTTATATTAAACTGATTTTTGGATATCGGCCATGGGATTGAGCTTGCTTCGCCCTGGCCACGGGTTGTCTCGGTATTGCACTACCTCCGAGTTCGGCCCATTTCCCTTCATGGAAGGGAAACACATTTACTTTAAACAAAAGAAAAAAACAAACAAAACAGCCAGCAAATCAAATAGCAAAGCGAATTTATTTTGTCTGTAACTAACTAACTAACTAACTAACCGAGAAACGAACCGTTTAACATTTAACTAATTAACTAACATACGTCTCTTTCGACAGAGTCGGCGAAAGACGAAAAGACGTCGTCGTCGTCGGAAAGGAAGACAATAAAGGCCGTCAGACGGTAAGTTGCAAGTGCAAAAGTAGTGAAAAGTAAAGGGAGGGTGCAACCGTGTCGCACCGAGCGTACGTTCGCGTACAAAGTATGCTCGCCGTGCGTCGTTCGAGCATACTTACCTGACGCGAGGCACCTTGATCAGCTAGGAGGTCCTCTCAGGATGAGGCCCTTTCATTGCACTTCGACTGGGTTGACTCCTGCGATTACCCCTAACGTGGGTAACTCGAGCGTATAATTTCTGGTAGTGGGGACCTGCGTTCGCGCTCGTCCCTTCGTTTCTCACGATGGGAGGAAGAAGCGGAGAAAAGAACAAATAAAATAGAACACGATATATAAATTCGTTGTTCGTTCGGGGTTAGGTTGCATGCTGCCAAATTTTTACTGACCTATCCCAAAATGCATAGCGAGATGCAGGAGAAATTTATATCATCTATTAGCAAGAATAAATTACTTGTATTTGACATAAATTACTTGTACTTAACAACGACGTAAACGGCCGGCGTGTGTATATTTTGACGGACGGCATATACATTATGAAAATATACAAATTATAATATGTATCGTCGACGTTAACAGTAATGAAATTGCATTGCGAACGTTTTTCTTACTTAGTCGTACGTTTGTTTAGCTTTTATAGTAATTATTTCTATGTATCACTGACATTTAACGGCTCGTAGTGTAAAATTCGTTCATTGAGCTGCTTGTCTGCCGATTTCATGAAGCATGACCTTGTTGACATTGCAGCACTTGCATACAATGCGAATCATTATCGCCCACAAGCACAAAGCGTTTGTTTTACAATGAGAAAGCACGTCTGCAGCAAGTTCGCGACAGACATCGCGTGCTTCCTACGTCATATGAAACGATCGCATTTCGCGGCATTACGCGCGAATTTTCAAACATGTTCTTCTTTACGAACAGGTGTACATTGGATTAGAAAGAACGCTTGACATGACGATTGTAGTAAAGGATGATTCCTTCGTTATCCGTACTGCTTGATTTTTCATTTGTTGCATGATTTCTACGCGAAAAGATACAATAGAACCGTGTGTTTCTCATGCAACTTGTAGAGTGAAAAATGGCGAAAGCTCTTCTTCTGTATCGCTTCTCGGCCTTTGGCTAAGATCAAGTGTAGTATCTGTTCTTATCAGCTTAATATCTGATATGTCGGGCAATGCCCGACTCTTATATTAAACTGATTTTGATATCGGCCATGGGATTGGAGCTTGCTCGCCCTGGCCACGGGTTGTCTCGGTATTGCACTACCTCCGAGTTCGGCCCATTTCCTCGCGGAAGGGAAACACATTTACTTTAAACAAAAGAAAAAAAAAACAAACAAAACAGCCAGCAAATCAAATAGCAAAGCGAATTTATTTTGTCTGTAACTAACTAACTAACTAACTAACCGAGAAACGAACCGTTTAACATTTAACTAATTAACTAACATACGTTCTTTTCGACAGAGTCGGCGAAAGACGAAAAGACGTCGTCGTCGTCGGAAAGGAAGACAATAAAGGCCGTCAGACGGTAAGTTGCAAGTGCAAAAGTAGTGAAAAGTAAAGGAGGGTGCAACCGTGTCGCACCGAGCGTACGTTCGCGTACAAAGTATGCTCGCCGTGCGTCGTTCGAGCATACTTACCTGACGCGAGGCACCTTGATCAGCTAGGAGGTCCTCTCAGGATGAGGCCCTTTCATTGCACTTCGACTGGTTGACTCCTGCGATTACCCCTAACGTGGGTAACTCGAGCGTATAATTTCTGGTAGTGGGGACCTGCGTTCGCTCGTCCCTTGTTTCTCACGATGGGAGGAAGAAGCGGAGAAAAGAACAAATAAAATAGAACACGATATATAAATTCGTTGTTCGTTCGGGTTAGGTTGCATGCTGCCAAATTTTTACTGACCTATCCCAAAATGCATAGCGAGATGCAGGAGAAATTTATATCATCTATTAGCAAGAATAAATTACTTGTATTTTAAATTACTTGTACTTAACAACGACGTAAACGGCCGGCGTGTGTATATTTTGACGGACGGCATATACATTATGAAAATATACAAATTATAATATGTATCGTCGACGTTAACAGTAATGAAATTGCATTGCGAACGTTTTTCTTACTTAGTCGTACGTTTGTTTAGCTTTTATAGTAATTATTTCTATGTATCACTGACATTTAACGGCTCGTAGTGTAAAATTCGTTCATTGAGCTGCTTGTCTGCCGATTTCATGAAGCATGACGACATTGCAGTGCATACAATGCGAATCATTATCGCCCACAAGCACAAAGCGTTTGTTTTACAATGAAAGCACGTCTGCAGCAAGTTCGCGACAGACATCGCGTGCTTCACGTCATGAAACGATCGCATTTCGCGGCATTACGCGAATTTTCAAACATGTTCTTCTTTACGAACAGGTGTACATTGGATTAGAAAGAACGCTTGACATGACGATTGTAGTAAAGGATGATTCCTTCGTTATCCGTACCTTGATTTTTTCATTTGTTGCATGATTTCTACGAAAAGATACAATAGAACCGTGTGTTTCTATGCAACTTGTAGAGTGAAAAATGGCTATCTTCTTCTGTATCGCTTTCAACTAAGATCAAGTTAGTATCTGTTCTTATCAGCTTAATATCTGATATGTCGGGCAATGCCCGACTCTTATATTAAACTGATTTTGGATATCGGCCATGGGATTGAGCTTGCTTCGCCCTGGCCACGGGTTGTCTCGGTATTGCACTACCTCCGAGTTCGGCCCATTTCCTTCGCGGAAGGGAAACACATTTACTTTAAACAAAGAAAAAACAAACAAAACAGCCAGCAAATCAAATAGCAAAGCGAATTTATTTTGTCTGTAACTAACTAACTAACTAACTAACCGAGAAACGAACCGTTTAACATTTAACTAATTAACTAACATACGTCTCTTTTCGACAGAGTCGGCGAAAGACGAAAAGACGTCGTCGTCGTCGGAAAGGAAGACAATAAAGGCCGTCAGACGGTAAGTTGCAAGTGCAAAAGTAGTGAAAAGTAAAGGGAGGGTGCAACCGTGTCGCACCGAGCGTACGTTCGCGTACAAAGTATGCTCGCCGTGCGTCGTTCGAGCATACTTACCTGACGCGAGAGGCACCTTGATCAGCTAGGAGGTCCTCTCAGGATGAGGCCCTTTCATTGCACTTCGACTGGTTGACTCCTGCGATTACCCCTAACGTGGGTAACTCGAGCGTATAATTTCTGGTAGTGGGGACCTGCGTTCGCGCTCGTCCCCTCGTTTCTCACGATGGGAGGAAGAAGCGGAAAAAAGAACAAATAAAATAGAACACGATATATAAATTCGTTGTTCGTTCGGGTTAGGTTGCATGCTGCCAAATTTTTACTGACCTATCCCAAAATGCATAGCGAGATGCAGGAGAAATTTATATCATCTATTAGCAAGAATAAATTACTTGTATTTGACATAAATTACTTGTACTTAACAACGACGTAAACGGCCGGCGTGTGTATATTTTGACGGACGGCATATACATTATGAAAATATACAAATTATAATATGTATCGTCGACGTTAACAGTAATGAAATTGCATTGCGAACGTTTTTCTTACTTAGTCGTACGTTTGTTTAGCTTTTATAGTAATTATTTCTATGTATCACTGACATTTAACGGCTCGTAGTGTAAAATTCGTTCATTGAGCTGCTTGTCTGCCGATTTCATGAAGCATGACCTTGTTGACATTGCAGCACTTGCATACAATGCGAATCATTATCGCCCACAAGCACAAAGCGTTTGTTTTACAATGAGAAAGCACGTCTGCAGCAAGTTCGCGACAGACATCGCGTGCTTCCTACGTCATATGAAACGATCGCATTTCGCGGCATTACGCGCGAATTTTCAAACATGTTCTTCTTTACGAACAGGTGTACATTGGATTAGAAAGAACGCTTGACATGACGATTGTAGTAAAGGATGATTCCTTCGTTATCCGTACTGCTTGATTTTTCATTTGTTGCATGATTTCTACGCGAAAGATACAATAGAACCGTGTGTTTCTCATGCAACTTGTAGAGTGAAAAATGGCGAAAGCTCTTCTTCTGTATCGCTTCTCGGCCTTTTGGCTAAGATCAAGTGTAGTATCTGTTCTTATCAGCTTAATATCTGATATGTCGGGCAATGCCCGACTCTTATATTAAACTGATTTTGGATATCGGCCATGGGATTGGAGCTTGCTTCGCCCTGGCCACGGGTTGTCTCGGTATTGCACTACCTCCGAGTTCGGCCCATTTCCTTCGCGGAAGGGAAACACATTTACTTTAAACAAAGAAAAAAAACAAACAAAACAGCCAGCAAATCAAATAGCAAAGCGAATTTATTTTGTCTGTAACTAACTAACTAACTAACTAACCGAGAAACGAACCGTTTAACATTTAACTAATTAACTAACATACGTCTCTTTTCGACAGAGTCGGCGAAAGACGAAAAGACGTCGTCGTCGTCGGAAAGGAAGACAATAAAGGCCGTCAGACGGTAAGTTGCAAGTGCAAAAGTAGTGAAAAGTAAAGGGAGGGTGCAACCGTGTCGCACCGAGCGTACGTTCGCGTACAAAGTATGCTCGCCGTGCGTCGTTCGAGCATACTTACCTGACGCGAGAGGCACCTTGATCAGCTAGGAGGTCCTCTCAGGATGAGGCCCTTTCATTGCACTTCGACTGGGTTGACTCCTGCGATTACCCTAACGTGGGTAACTCGAGCGTATAATTTCTGGTAGTGGGGACCTGCGTTCGCGCTCGTCCCCTTCGTTTCTCACGATGGGAGGAAGAAGCGGAGAAAAAGAACAAATAAAATAGAACACGATATATAAATTCGTTGTTCGTTCGGGGTTAGGTTGCATGCTGCCAAATTTTTTACTGACCTATCCCAAAATGCATAGCGAGATGCAGGAGAAATTTATATCATCTATTAGCAAGAATAAATTACTTGTATTTGACATAAATTACTTGTACTTAACAACGACGTAAACGGCCGGCGTGTGTGTATATTTTGACGGACGGCATATACATTATGAAAATATACAAATTATAATATGTATCGTCGACGTTAACAGTAATGAAATTGCATTGCGAACGTTTTTCTTACTTAGTCGTACGTTTGTTTAGCTTTTTATAGTAATTATTTCTATGTATCACTGACATTTAACGGCTCGTAGTGTAAAATTCGTTCATTGAGCTGCTTGTCTGCCGATTTCATGAAGCATGACCTTGTTGACATTGCAGCACTTGCATACAATGCGAATCATTATCGCCCACAAGCACAAAGCGTTTGTTTTACAATGAGAAAGCACGTCTGCAGCAAGTTCGCGACAGACATCGCGTGCTTCCTACGTCATATGAAACGATCGCATTTCGCGGCATTACGCGCGAATTTTCAAACATGTTCTTCTTTACGAACAGGTGTACATTGGATTAGAAAGAACGCTTGACATGACGATTGTAGTAAAGGATGATTCCTTCGTTATCCGTACTGCTTGATTTTTCATTTGTTGCATGATTTCTACGCGAAAAGATACAATAGAACCGTGTGTTTCTCATGCAACTTGTAGAGTGAAAAATGGCGAAAGCTCTTCTTCTGTATCGCTTCTCGGCCTTTTGGCTAAGATCAAGTGTAGTATCTGTTCTTATCAGCTTAATATCTGATATGTCGGGCAATGCCCGACTCTTATATTAAACTGATTTTGGATATCGGCCATGGGATTGGAGCTTGCTTCGCCCTGGCCACGGGTTGTCTCGGTATTGCACTACCTCCGAGTTCGGCCCATTTCCCTTCGCGGAAGGGAAACACATTTACTTTAAACAAAAGAAAAAAAAAACAAACAAAACAGCCAGCAAATCAAATAGCAAAGCGAATTTATTTTGTCTGTAACTAACTAACTAACTAACCGAGAAACGAACCGTTTAACATTTAACTAATTAACTAACGTCTCTTTTCGACAGAGTCGGCGAAAGACGAAAAGACGTCGTCGTCGTCGGAAAGGAAGACAATAAAGGCCGTCAGACGGTAAGTTGCAAGTGCAAAAGTAGTGAAAAGTAAAGGGAGGGGGTGCAACCGTGTCGCACCGAGCGTACGTTCGCGTACAAAGTATGCTCGCCGTGCGTCGTTCGAGCATACTTACCTGACGCGAGAGGCACCTTGATCAGCTAGGAGGTCCTCTCAGGATGAGGCCCTTTCATTGCACTTCGACTGGGTTGACTCCTGCGATTACCCCTAACGTGGGTAACTCGAGCGTATAATTTCTGGTAGTGGGGACCTGCGTTCGCGCTCGTCCCCTTCGTTTCTCACGATGGGAGGAAGAAGCGGAGAAAAAGAACAAATAAAATAGAACACGATATATAAATTCGTTGTTCGTTCGGGGTTAGGTTGCATGCTGCCAAATTTTTTACTGACCTATCCCAAAATGCATAGCGAGATGCAGGAGAAATTTATATCATCTATTAGCAAGAATAAATTACTTGTATTTGACATAAATTACTTGTACTTAACAACGACGTAAACGGCCGGCGTGTGTGTATATTTTGACGGACGGCATATACATTATGAAAATATACAAATTATAATATGTATCGTCGACGTTAACAGTAATGAAATTGCATTGCGAACGTTTTTCTTACTTAGTCGTACGTTTGTTTAGCTTTTTATAGTAATTATTTCTATGTATCACTGACATTTAACGGCTCGTAGTGTAAAATTCGTTCATTGAGCTGCTTGTCTGCCGATTTCATGAAGCATGACCTTGTTGACATTGCAGCACTTGCATACAATGCGAATCATTATCGCCCACAAGCACAAAGCGTTTGTTTTACAATGAGAAAGCACGTCTGCAGCAAGTTCGCGACAGACATCGCGTGCTTCCTACGTCATATGAAACGATCGCATTTCGCGGCATTACGCGCGAATTTTCAAACATGTTCTTCTTTACGAACAGGTGTACATTGGATTAGAAAGAACGCTTGACATGACGATTGTAGTAAAGGATGATTCCTTCGTTATCCGTACTGCTTGATTTTTCATTTGTTGCATGATTTCTACGCGAAAAGATACAATAGAACCGTGTGTTTCTCATGCAACTTGTAGAGTGAAAAATGGCGAAAGCTCTTCTTCTGTATCGCTTCTCGGCTTTTGGCTAAGATCAAGTGTAGTATCTGTTCTTATCAGCTTAATTCTGATATGTTGATCACTTTGCGACTGGTTTTGATCGCTGATAATTGGATATCGCCATTGATTTGGAGTTTGGACTCCTGTTAAGGTTATTTGGTATTAATCTACCTCTCTTCTGCTGATTTCCTAGTGGAACATTTTGGATTGGATCTTCTGTATCTCAGTTTGGAATGTTATTGACACGATTTTTGGACGACCCTGGAACTCAAGACGAAGACGAACCTTCGCCGTTTGCTGTTGTTTCAACGACGCTGTTGCTCTACACGTCAATCCGTCTCAATCCTTAGCTCGTCGTCGCTTTGCTCTTTGGCGAACGTTATATTCGACCTGTTCGTAGTTTTTACACTATTCGCGTTGATCGGCGAAACTCAACGCTATTTGCGCTTGTTCTACTGTCGATCGATATACGCTCGCACACGGCTTTTTCGACTGTGTTTGGCTACTCACTACTATATTTAAAGCTAGGATGCTCTCCCGCTTATTTATTCTTTATTCTGAGAGGATCTCAGCCCCGTCCTTGTAATGTAAAATTTTATTGTCAGCAGGCCGTATAAACTTCCTCGTACTAACGAAGCATCGCACCGTAGTTTCGTCGCATTCGCGCGTCATTTACTTGTTCTTTTAAGAACAGCTGCATCGTCTGACTATCCTGCATCGAACGTGGGTAATTTACGAACGAAGGAACAATTTTTGAACGATTTTCATCGTCTTTTCTGGTAGAGTTTTGTGTTAGTACCCACGTGGTTAAACCTTCGCTATTCTGACTATCGCTGCATATAATTCCATATAATTTGCATTCGCTGATTGCACGCCGAATATATCTTGAACATTGCTACCCTCTATACTACACTGGACTATATTCTACAGCGTTTAGACGATTTTTGAACAATTTCTGGCGTTTACTTTGAAAGATCTCTACGGCTCTAAACCGCGTTTCGAAGCCTGCGAAGCATATCCATTCTGAGTCTTTCTACACGCCAAAGAAACAATTGATGACAAATTAAGCGCTATACTCTCGGTGAAGAGGGCTCTATTAACGTCTTTTACCCTCTTTGGACCGATTGGATCAATTTTAAGACAATTTGCTAGCTGGTTGTGTTTTAACACCCATGCGTGGCGAAGGACCCGCAATTGCTTCATAAAGCCACTACTACGTTGGTTTATTTACGACAATCTCAGCGTTTTGGAACATTTTTATCCTTCTAGCTCACACACATCATTGTTCGAACATTTTTTTGGCGTTTATCTTGGGGCTTTCATCGCAACAAACTTCCGCGTCACCTCGAAGTTTTGAACGGTAACATTACACGTGCTCTTACACTCCACAGAATTAATTTGCTGTGTTTGACATTTCGCGCCTACTACTTTTCCTTCTGAAAAGGCTATATTAACAGCCCTAACATATTCATCGGGCCAATTTGAACGTTTAAGTGCGATATTCTACTAATCCCGCACTATTTTTATCGATTACACTCCGAGGGGTCTAATTACCCAAAGACATCCCACGTGCATCAACTTTTCGCCGCGTGCCAATTTCGTCTACGCGCCAATTTTGTCCGTGCGCCAATTTTGTTCGCGCGCCAATTTTATCTGCGCGCCAATTTTATCTCGGCCAATCTTATTTACGCCAACTCTATCTACGCGCCAATTCTATCCACGCGCCAAATTCTCCACGTGCGTTAATTTAAAAACACTAAACTATTATTACTCGTGCAGCTGATTACATTGAAACATTCTGTGTGCACTCCTACAATTTTCTCTGCCATTTCACCGTGTTGGATATACATTCATTGGAACTGCCTTACTTATCACTTCTCGCGTACGCATCATTTTAGTGGTAATAATAAAATTTTTGTGTTTTGTTGTCCATTTCTTCTCCGTGTGGGCCCAAAATGCCCACATGTGTATATTGCATGAAATGGTTCAAGACCCGTGGCCACTGGCAGAACACTGGCCGCTCATCATGGGACTCCCAAGTATGACGACGTTCCAGCCCAACGCTGCAAAGCCACGTATCGTGTCGATATCCATCCACAAGACATCCGCTGCCCATACCGAGGTTATAAGTATGTCAGCAGACAAGTTGCTGGTATACGTAACCTGGCAACCCATTTTCGAGGAACCACCCTCAACATGAGCTAGTAGTCTCCCACCTCTGCGGTCTCTGCAATACATACATTGATCCCAGCGAATCCACCAACACATGCAAGCTCATCGTCACTCCCACAAGCAGCAATCGCCATTCACTCCACCTCAACCTACCATCGATCAATCACCCAGAGACTACTATCTCCACCTCACCGAATTCCACCTCCACGACAGCCGCACCTCACCATCAAGCACATACTCCACCACAGTCATCGCCGATGCCAATCAACAAGACCTCTTGCCCCATGGAAGGCTGCACTTTTTCACTTAAGCCAACCCGACCCCACAACTCTCAAAACTCCTTCAACACCACACACCCCAATCAATCCCTCTCCCTCCGTACTACTGTCAATCCTGTAATGGCTAATGGCGGAGATCAACCTTCCCACCTGCAGAGCCACCAAGCGAGTCTGAGCAACCAACTCCTACTTCCTCCACTACCGCCTCTCTTACCTCCCTCATTCCATAACCCTGGATCCGATCCCACCCACTTCCATCCATCATCCTCCAGCCATCCACCCTGTCCCCCCACTCCAATCATCATTCTCCACCACCTACCACCCTTTCTGTCCCATCCCCCACAGACCTCTCTCCACTCTGTCCTTCATCCATCTTTCTTTATCCAACCAACTCCTTCCACCTACTCCACCCATCTGGCACGCCCTCCTCACTGTACCATCCAACCCCAATTCATCACCACCGATAGCCCTGGATGAACCCGACCCTACTCCAGAAGATCCCACCACAACTTCCACCCCCGTTCCTCATCCATGGCACCACCCAGCCAACGACCAGCGCCATCCATACTCGCGCAACCATCAACACCCAAATTTCCCACCTCATTTTTCATTAGAAGACAATCCACATTCTCCACCATCATCCGCTGACATCACTCACGAGCACCTCAAGTGTAAGTGAGATTAACTTCGCTGTCACCATCCACCTGCAGCATGGAACTTCATCCGGCTCCTCTCTGGGGACAAATGTGCAGCTTCTGCTCTCCAACCTCATGGAGATTCGTAGTACCTCAGTAGCCCTAATCTCCCTCCACATCTCAACCCACGAACACACGTCACGACGCAAGACATTGCGCCCATCTCCAATTTCCAAGCAGACCAGCCCACACTGCCACCACGGCCACAACCTCCTGCTCATCCTGCGGCCCCTCCACCACCCACCGTGATCACTTAGCCACCACCCACTGAACCGCTTGGCCCACCAACACCAACTTCTTCATCAACATCAACCTGGCCGACTTAGCGGCGATAACATCCGATATCGCAACCTCGGGCACCATTGAGCGGACCGTGTCCCATCACCCGTCCTGCGACCCCAGGCACCTCTGATGATGAAGATGGTGTTGATAAGCTTCTACAACGAAGAACAACCTCCATCCACCGACGACCAGACCACCTTCTCCTCTTCAGGGAGAAATGGCAGTCTACATCTCACAGGACTCCTCTTGGGCTGACTTCACACAACACTGCACCTGACCACCCGCGGCTGCCTCGGGGCTCGCCATCCACCTCAACAGATCATCCACATCCACGCCAATGCGAAACCAACCGACCGAAACCACCACCTCACGTCCACCACAAGGCAGCTACATCAAATCCTTTGACCCCACGAGCTCCGGCTTCCAGGGTCTCTACCATTCAAAACGAGCGGCACCGTAAGATCCTGAAACAACAACACCATTTTCACTGGCACCATTGATGATGCGAACCACATACACATCCTTTGAGGAAAAAACACGAACACCACCATCCTCAAAGAACACCTCGAAAATTCACCCCGCCGTGACGCATCACCCAATATCACAGGATCTCTACCCGGGAACTCCGTCAGGCTGAAATTGCGCAAAACCAGCTGCGTCAGTCGGCATGCCTGGCATGGACAAATGCAATACTCACACCTCAAGAAGGTTGATCCCACCGCCATCCTCACCTCATATTCACGATGTCATCATGAGCGACGCCACAACCGTGGAAAAGAAGCTGTCACCATCTCATCTACAAAGGGTGATGACAGCGACATCACCAACTTCCGCCCCATTCCTCATGTCCACCATGTATGCTGTTCATGGGAGTGCTTTCGCCAAACGCTTAACAAGGTGGAGCATCACTCGAGGATCCTCTCGGACGAGCAAAAGAGTGCTTAGACCCTCTGAAGGCTGTTACGAACACACTTTCATGCTGGTCATTATTGCCCGGACGCCGTCAGGAAAACTGTGCATCGCCTGGCTTGATCTTAGCGCGTCGCCGGCGTGGTAAAGCACCAGGTCATCCTTCCGTCCCTTCTGCCGTTGTGTTCCTCCAGACATGGTTGCACTCATCATGAACTTATGCTGGTGCATCCACAACCATCCTCACACCTGGTGGAAGAACCTCATCCATCCCTGTCCATGCTGGCGTGAAACAGGATGCCTCAGCCCTATTGTGTTCAACCTCTGCTTGAGCTCATCCTGCGCTCGGTTAAGGAAAGGGCCTGACACAGAGAGCTGGGGTGTACAAATTCCAGAACAGAACTGTCTCTGCCTGGCATATGCGGACGACCTTGTCTTCATGGCGTGAACTGCGAAAACCTCCAGCTGCTTTTGATACTGCTGCTGATTCCTTCCAGTGCGCGGATTCGAATCCGACCAGATGCCACCCTCTTCTCCGTCTGGCGGTAGGAGCCTCTGGACCGAGGTACGACGCTGTCTCGTGATCACCTACGTAGACGAACAGTCTATCGTTATCTGGGGTGCCATAAGATCCACAACATCGGCGACATTCCATCCATAATCCCACGACTCATCCACGACCTCCACGCCATCAACAACTCTTAGCACCTTGGCAGAAGCTGGATGCTATTCGGACGTTTAAGAGCTCATGCCTCAAGCAGCACTGGCGGGTGATGCCTCTGAAAATCATTGAGTGAATACCGTTCGCTGCTCGTCCGGGTGCTCGCGTGAGTTCTTTCCAATCTGCTCTTCGCCGACTCACAAGGTCGAACAGATCATCCACTTCTCTTCCCACTCTACACCTTTCCAGCTCGTCAACTTATATGGCCCCAATCAGAAGACCCTGGCACGTGGAATTCGACCATAAGCCATTGTTCCCTACGATCATTCTGGCGATCAGTGGTCAATCCAATGTTGCCACCATCTGGCTGGAAGACCCTCGCTCATTAGTCCGCCAAACGCCTTGGCTAACCTTACCCAAGAGCTAAACTTAGTGGACATATGGCGACATCGCCATCCAGATGAACGTTGTTTTACGTGGACCCGTGCAAATGGCCAAGTTGGATCAAGGCTAGACGTTGGGTAAAGTCCTTAGCACCGTCCGTTAAGGATATATCCATCCTGCCATATTTTCGTAGCGATCACTCCTACGTCTTTCTTTCTTTTTCTCTGCCGAATGCAATCGAAGCAGGGCTGCTGGAAATTTAACAATAATTTAATTAATAATGAAACGCCACGTCAAAACCATTAAAGACTCCGGACCAGGAAAAACTTATTACCCTCCTTACCCATTTGGGGGCGTTGCAGAAACTCATTCGACAGATCACCATCGAAGTTCTCGACAGATCTAGCTGTGTCACAAAGGAACAGTATGACAACCTCAATAAACAACTTATCGATCTTCAAACCCGCAGAAATGCAGGCGGGGACGTTTCCATCAAACTGAACACGGTGAAGGACGCCTATCGACCATCACCGTGTAAGGCCGAAGGTCGCGCTTCGCGTGCCGAGAAACTGGGCTGAAGAAGGGGAAATCTCTTCTAAATATTTCTTCCAACGCGAAAAAACACGTGCCGTACGAAATTTGATGCATGCGATCAAGGATATTCACGGACGTACTATACGAACACTGCGTGGTATGTTACAAGTGTGGATGTTATTCTATACTACCCTTTTCTGCTGCTTACCTAGACGCAGAACAAACCTTTTCCTGCAGCTTACATAAATTATCCCCTATGGACGCGGCCCTTTGCGAGGGAGCGGTTACCCTGGAGGAATGTACGGCGGCCATAAATTCCTTTTCCAACAATAAATCTCCGGGGGTGGATGGCCTTACCTACGAATTTTATCGTACATTCTGGGACTGTATGGGTCCCGATCTAGTGTCCGTACTAAACACATCGCATACCACCGGTCTATTATCTCTGTCTCAAAGAACTGGGATAATCACCTTATTATATAAAAAAGGGGATAAATTAGACCCCAAAAACTGGCGCCCTATTACACTGCTATGTACAGATTATAAAATCCTATCAAAAGTACTTACCGGCCGCTTGGCCACGGTCATATCCAACGTAACTTCGCCATGTCAGACGTGTGGCGTCCCTGGACGATTTTCTGGAGAAGTGGTACGTTTGATACAAGATTGCTTAGACTATGCTAATTTAAATAATATTGGCGGAGCCCTGCTGTCATTAGATCAAGAGAAAGCCTTTGATCGCGTAGACTGGGAGTTCATGCATACAATTTTGGAGCACATGAATTTCGGACCATCCTTTCGAGCGTGGGTTCGCATACTATATACCACTTTGTACTCACGTGTTTTAATCAACGGTACTCTCGGGGGCCCTTTTACTATTTCCCGGGGAGTACGGCAGGGTTGTCCCCTTTCGCCCCTGTTATATGTTTTGGCAGCCGAACCCCTTTCGTGTGCCATACAAGCATCAACCAATATCGATGGTTTCTCTCTGCCATCTGGAGACTCAGTGAAAATTCTACAGTATGCGGATGACACCACTTGCTTTGTTACCAACGACTCCAGCCTGCTGACATTGCTCAATCTGTTTGACCGATATTCAAAAGCTTCGGGTGCCAAATTAAATCTAGACAAGACTGAAGGCCTGCTGTTTGGATCATGGAGAACTAGAACGGATTTACCTGTTCGTTTGCAATGGTCCACCGAATTTTTGATTATCCTGGGTTGTCGAGTCGGCAATTCCATTCTGCCCGACTGGGACAAACTAGTTCAAAAATTTAGAGCTAAAATAACCTCTTGGTCATCACGATCCCTGTCTCTCCAAGGCCGAACTTTGCTTGCAAACACCCTTGGCCTCAGCATATTCTGGTACCAAGCAACCATCTTCGACATGCCAAAAACGGTGGTACACGCGGTAAATAAAATCCTTTTCCCATTTATATGGAACAAAACCAAAGAACCCATCGCACGCAGCTCCGCCGTTGCTCCTCGTCCTCGGGGGGGTTTGGGTGTTGTACATGTTGCCACCAAAATTTTATCTTTGAGAGCAATCTGGCTCCGCCGGCTGTTGCTCTTCCAGTATACTATTCCTTGGCCTCCTCTGTTGGCCTTCTATGTACGCGATATCTTCAAGCAGGACCTGGCCACCTTTTTTTCTCGAGGCACCATTCCTGCTTATCTCGTTAAAAAATTACCCAAGTTCTACCAGTCCGTAGTTCATACTTGGATGCAGTTAAAAGGACGACTAGTAGACAATTCGTGGCTGGTGGGAAGCGAGGACATTGTCCCTATACCGCTGGCAGAACTTACAGCTCGAGGCACGTACTCCATCCTGCTCGAAAGTGCCTTAACACCCCATAAGGCTGTTGGAAAATTCCGCAACATGCAGATTGAAGTCCACTGGCCATCTGTGTGGCATTCCTTAAAACTATGGCGCTTTATCCGATCAATAGCCGATACGAATTACTATAACTTTCATGGCCGCCTGGCCACAGCAGACCGTTTATTGCACTTCGGCATGAACGTGGATGAGAAATGTTTTTGCGGAGAGCTTGAAACCGCTCTTCACCTGTTCTGCCACTGCCCTGTCGCCACCGCCGTATGGGACTGGCTCACCCCCCTACTGGTACCCTTGGCCTTGCCCCTCCCACTTACCATCTCCACCATTCTTTTCGGCTTCCCCGCAGCAAAGAAGACCCCGGCAGCTGTGAATGCCCTTCTGGGTATCTTCAGACACCACCTTTGGCTTCATCGCAATCGATGCAGGTTTGACCGTCTCTCACCCGATGCCTCCTCGGTATTGCGGATGGCGAAGTCAACCTTCCGATTCGCGGTGAAAATGGAACATCGCCACTGCCTCCTCACGAAGTTTGAAGACGAATGGTTGATTCGTGGTCTGGTCGGTACCATCGCCGACGACAATTCAGTATCCTTTTCTAAGGATTTCATGTCTTGAATGTTGGTACTTTGTTGGACGGTGCTGAAGGGGGTCGCCTTCATTGGTTGTACTGCCGGATAGCCCGTTCGTCGTACGTCGCGTAGATTGCGAAAAAACAGCTTGCTGTCCTTTTCAATATCTCGTCTTGTGATTCTTGTTCGTCTCGTTACAAGCTCTAGCATTTATGCCAGGGCTTCGTATCGTCGAAAGATCCCAGATCTTTCCTTTCTGTTCTCTGTCGGTTTTGTCCGCGGGGGAGAGGTTCGCAGCCTCTGTCGATCTGCGTCGCTGGTAGCGGCCCCCCTGAGTGTACCGGTCTTGCACGTAAGGGTTCGTCGTCATTGCACCCCCGACGTCGTAACCTACCCGGTCCCCACCCAAAATAAGATCAAGTGTAGTTTACATGACGTTTCCGGCGGAGCTCTCCGAAATTTTGATCTCCTTTCTTCAAAATTGTTCATCTGCCTTACTATTTGGTATAATCTTGTAGCTAAAAGTCTAGCGATCATTTCAAGAATATATTGGTCGAAATTGGTCTATTTTTCGCCGAGAAATCAACGTTTATAAATTGGTACGATCGGCGCTTGTTTTGTTTACCACGTGCTCGCGTTCGTTTGGTAATTTTTGATGTTAAATTCATCGTGGATAAACTATAATTGGTATCTACGTGTTCCAGACAATCTCCTCTACATTTCTATAAGATTTTTGGAGTCGAATTGTATACATTTTTTCAATTATTTGCGAAAATCGTCGATCCGAAAATCAAAGCGATGGTGCTTCCACTTCGTGACGGAATACTTCCAACGCCCAAATCAAGTAAAATCAATTCTAAAGATTCTACGAGCTTTATTTCGCCTTCTACTTACCCTTTACCATATGAAGCTGTCCAAATTATCAACTCCTTCAACATTAGTGAGCAACCTAAATGGAACATTTCAGTTGGAACTAAAAACATCAAGTTAAAAATGGAATGGCTTACAATAAACACTCATATGGAAAAATCCACAACCTTCAACTTTCCTACAACTGTTCTTCACTCAATATCATTGTTCAATCTCGATAAACCAACTTGGTCTTCATCCTTTAACGGCCAAGAAGTCCTCCTGAACTGTGAGTGGAAAATTATAAATTCATCTCCATCTCAATTTAATACTCCACCACAATCAGCTGCTACCCTATATAACTCTCCAGACTCTGGTTACCATACTGGTTCACCTCCTACAACTTACTCACCCTATACAGCACCAATTACACCTACAAAACTAAATTTTCACCTACAAAAGAAAAATGATATTTTCATCCCTAAAACTCCCAAATCTTCAAAATCCCCCCAAAACCCTCACCAACCTATTCCCCCTCCCAAAGCAATCCAACCTTCCTATCATTAAACCACCCATCCGTCCAACAACCAAAAGCACAAACTCCTCATTCCCTACTCCCTCTACCCTAAAATCCCTCCCAATCCTCTACCAACAAACCCCAACCCACCCACAATACTACAATTCCCTCAACTTCAAAATCCCCCACTTACCTCTCAGCCTTACCCATACAAACCTTCTTCTTCAACTATGGTTGTCATTAATCCTGATGCTCCAACTACCAACCAGGACTACGAATGCGTGACTTTGTGCCAAAGTATAATAAATTTGCACAACCTCCAAGATCCATTAAAATATATGACGATGGATCCCTTGATGAAAGCATTGAGCAGAATTCATGAATATCAATGGTCGATACGCTCTGCAATGAAGAAATACCATCATACCTTGCCATGGCTCATGTATATCAATGTCGCGAATTTGATGACGAAAGAATTAAAGATTTTTGCCAAAAATATGCCTTGAAGCTGAACACTGGCGAACATACCATATATAATTATATAATATTGCATGCCAGTTATCTATTTCAAGACAATTTAATTCCGAATGACATTATAAAAGACATTAGTACTTACCGTAGTTTTACCAGTGATATTGACAATCTAGCTGAAACAATTCTTCCTTCTTTCCTAACCAAATGTGGTTATTCTTCATCAATTACTATAAAAAGTCTTAAGGATCATGGTTATCCTGATGCTCCTGCACTCAAAATTCTCTCTTTCAATCATCTTAAAACTTAACACCTTTCTTTTTCATCTTTGTGCATAAAAGCCACACCTCCTATTTGCTATGTTTCTCTATTATCATATATACAATATTTACATCTATATGTACAATATTTACAATTATCTTTATTACCTATGTTATTAGCGTAACTATATAATATTATGTAACTATCTTTATTCTTTGTTAATCTTTCAAATGAAATAAAAGTTAATTTCTGTTCTTATCAGCTTAATATCTGATATGTCGGGCAATGCCCGACTCTTATATTAAACTGATTTTTGGATATCGGCCATGGGATTGGAGCTTGCTTCGCCCTGGCCACGGGTTGTCTCGGTATTGCACTACCTCCGAGTTCGGCCCATTTCCCTTCGCGGAAGGGAAACACATTTACTTTAAACAAACGAAAAAAAACAAACAAAACAGCCAGCAAATCAAATAGCTAAGCGAATTTATTTTGTCTGTAACTAACTAACCGAGAAACGAACTGTTTAACATTTAACTAAATAACATACGTCTCTTTTCGACAGAGTCGGCGAAAGACGAAAAGACGTCGTCGCCGTCGGAAAGGAAGACAATAAAGGCCGTCAGACGGTACGTTGCAAGTGCAAAAAGTAGTGAAAAAGTAAAGGGAGGGGGTGCAACCGTGTCGCACAGAGCGTACGTTCGCGTACAAAGTATGCTCGCCGTGCGTCGTTCGAGCATACTTACCTGACGCGAGAGGCACCTTGATCAGCTAGGAGGTCCTCTCAGGATGAGGCCCTTTCATTGCACTTCGACTGGGTTGACTCCTGCGATTACCCCTAACGTGGGTAACTCGAGCGTATAATTTCTGGTAGTGGGGACCTGCGTTCGCGCTCGTCCCCTTCGTTTCTCACGATGGGAGGAAGAAGCGGAGAAAAAGAACAAATAAAATAGAACACAATAGAGAGAAGAGGGCCTTTCGTCCGTCAATTGTGTATGCCACGCTTTGGGACATATATAAATTCGTTGTTCGTTCGGGGTTAGGTTGCATGCTGCCAAATTTTTTACTGACCTATCCCAAAATGCATAGCGAGATGCAGGAGAAATTTATATCAGCTATTAGCAAGAATAAATTACTTGTATTTGACATAAATTACTTGTACTTAACAACGACGTAAACGGCCGGCGTGTGTGTATATTTTGACGGACGGCATATACATTATGAAAGTATACAAATTATAATATGTATCGTCGACGTTAACAGTAATGATATTGCATTGCGAACGTTTTTCTTACTTAGTCGTACGTTTGTTTAGCTTTTTTATAGTAATTATTTCTATGTATCACTGACATTTAACGGCTCGTAGTGTAAAATTCGTTCATTGAGCTGCTTGTCTGCCGATTTCATGAAGCATGACCTTGTTGACATTGCAGCACTTGCATACAATGCGAATCATTATCGCCCACAAGCACAAAGCGTTTGTTTTACAATGAGAAAGCACGTCTGCAGCAAGTTCGCGACAGACATCGCGTGCTTCCTACGTCATATGAAACGATCGCATTTCGCGGCATTACGCGCGAATTTTCAAACATGTTCTTCTTTACGAACAGGTGTACATTGGATTAGAAAGAACGCTTGACATGACGATTGTAGTAAAGGATGATTCCTTCGTTATCCGTACTGCTTGATTTTTTTCATTTGTTGCATGATTTCTACGCGAAAAGATACAATAGAACCGTGTGTTTCTCATGCAACTTGTAGAGTGAAAAAATGGCGAAAGCTCTTCTTCTGTATCGCTTCTCGGCCTTTTGGCTAAGATCAAGTGTAGCTGCTAACAGACACGGTGACCTGTCGAGATCTGCTGTTTCGGAGTCTGCGCGTTGTGATCGTTCGTTGTTCGTAATCATATTCAATATCGTCTTCAAAACTGTGAGTTCGTTCCTTGTTTGTAAATTGTTATATTTTGTATTTGTTTTCTGGTAGTTCCTTATTAGGGGGCCCATTTAGGGGGCAACCGAACAGGAGGGGGTCTTTCCTCTTTTCTTGTTGCTAGGGTCTAGTCGGGGGGTGGTTTGGCCACGTTCTGACACCTTCAGTGTTCCTTCTTATATTTCGCGTGCTTATCGCCATTTTGTTATCGGGAAGCTTTCTTCCTCGACTTGTTTTTGCGAAGCTACAAGACTTCACGTGTGATTTATATTCTTTTTGGTTTCTGCTATAAGTAGGAACTGCTATATACTGTGTGCTTTCGAGTTTTATATTTGCTCGAACGTTTATCTTACTCTAAAGAACGATCGTTTATCGAAGGTCGTTTGTACTTTGATCGGGCGTTGTTTTATAACTTCTTGCTCGTATTTTCTATTAGTTTATCTTTGCCTTAACGCTGATTGCTGTCATTCAGCTTTGCTTAATTTATCATTTGATTTGCTTGGACCTTTGCCGTTCAAGCTATTATACTTTTCGCGAAGCACGTTGTTTGTTTGCTTCGTTTCTGCCTATTTTTTGCCTTGTTTTTTGCTAGTTTGTTTTAGACTAGCGTATTTTGCCTTTTGCCTTTCTGTTCTACGGTGAATATCATATCTAACTGTAGATTTTCTCACTATTTGGCCTTTTGCCGTTGTATATTTACGCGGCGTTATATATTATTCGTGGGCGTAGTCGAGCGTCTTTTGCTTGAAGATACGCTAATATCCTGAGTGTTTTGCACTAGTTGTTATATTTCTACTGGTGTAAGCGTGTCCTATACTTTCTACTATTATTTTGGTCTGTTTGACCGAAGACTTTTCTGCTTTGGGCGTTTTCTGCCATAAACGCCTGCCTTCTTGTTTGTATGAATTGAATGCATGATTGCATGCATTTTAATTTTCATACGCCCCGTTTGATATTCTTTTGAACGGATTAACTAATATTTAATAATGATACCGTATGCTTCAAGAACAGTCGATATCATTCTCCATCCTGACTGCCCCCTTCCTAAAAAGGGAGCCAAGGATGTGATAAATCTTTTAAAGACACGGGAGTTGTCTTCAACTATCGAAGCGGTCGTTCAAATCTCACCGGAGCGATATCGCCTAACTTTCAATAACGCTCGCCAAATGCAAGCTTTCTCCAACCAAGACTTCCTCGTGCATGGAAAGCCCGTGGAATTTCGATCAGTTTCCCCATTCACGTGGGTCTACATCTCCGTCTTTCTTATGGCATCCCTGATGAAGCCATCACCAGGGCACTTGCACCTTACAGTGGCGGCATCAAGACGATCAAATCGGTGCTGCATGAGAAAATATATACCGGTGAGCACAACGTGCTCATGAAGATAACTTCCAACATCCCTGCACGCCTTCGTATTGCAGGACATTGGTGCGTGGTGAAATACAGTGGCCAAAAACCCGTGTGTTTCAAATGCCACAAAGAGGGACACGTCATCGCTGACTGTCCGTCTTTTCGAGCTGCCCTGGATAGTTATCATAACAACGATAACGATGCTGCTACTAACGGTAGCAATAATAATACTACAGAGTCTTCTGTACCTTCCGCTCCTTCGCGCTCGTATGCTGCGGTTACGAGGAGTGGTCCTTTGCCTTTCAACACCTCCGAGAGTACCGGGCCATCCACTCCCTTATTAAATATTAATAATAGTAGTGCCCAGTCGGCTCCTGCCTGCGTCTCTGGCGCTCCGGAATCTGCCTCTTCTGCCTTGCCTGCCCTTTCTGCCCCTTCTGGGGGGGGCGGCACTGTCAACACGGAGTCTTCCCCATCGACCGTTTCCAGCCCCGTTCGACGACGTGGGAAACGACGCCATTCGCCTACTCACTCGCCGCAGCCAGAGGAGAAACGTGCAACGCCCGATGACTTGGACGTTGGTGACATTGCTGTCACACCGGATCCCATGAGCACGGAATCCCCTCCTGAAACTGTGCCCCTTCCTGCGGACACCGACGAGGATGATGATGATGATAATGATGAATCGGACATGGACGACGAGACAAACACGAATACGAACCTGGATGGCGATGATGATAAGGATGCTAATAGTGATAATGTTGATAATGACGATAATGATGAAAATGACGATAATGATGATAATGACGATTACGATGATAACGATGCTAATGATGAAAATGATAATAGTGGTGACGACAAAGAGTCACAGCAATCGGAAGTAGACCAAATGGACCCAGCCGACTACCTAGACCTTGGCGAGGATGAATATCCCAGCGATGATGGTGATTCCTTCGCCACTGTTTCAGAGGCTGAGCTGCCCAACTCGCCTGCTCCTCGTCCCGTACGACTTTCACTCAGGAAAGACAAACGACCTGTGAACCGCAATGAATCTGCTGGTGCCGTGGCACACGACGCAGACGCTTTATATAAATTGGCGGCAGTGCTTCCCACTCAGGGGGGCTCTCCATCTTATTAACTTTTTAGACAATTTTTGTCTTTTCCTTTTCTTTTTGAACTTTTTCTTTTTTCTTTTTTCTTTTTTTCCTTTTCT